AAAACCTCTTCTAAATAAATAAATAAATAAATAAATAAATAAATAAATAAATAAAGCTTCCTCTTTCTTTGCCCAGTTGTGAGTGCATATTTGGGCCAGGGAGACCTTCGACCTATCCTGACCCAGAGTCATAGCGTCTGTACCTTAGCTGGCACTTCCACCTGTTGGCGACTTGTGTTCCTCTTGCAAATCCAAGAACAAATGAGGGGAAAGGCCGCGGACTGAATTTGTAAAACCTATATCCTCAGTAAAGTCATATTAAACAACTTTCAGACTTAGGTTTGGAAGGCTTACTTTAAATAGTAATGACATCCTGGTAAAACACAGGGATTAACTACTGTGCCAGAGGTGTTTTTAAAAAATATTTATTTATTTATTTAATTCCATTTGTTATTATTATTATTATTTTGACCAGAGAGAAACAGAGAGAGAAAGAAAGGGAAAGCAAGAAGGCAAGCCACCAGGTCTGGGACTCGAACTGTGGTCGGCCTTTAACCACCACGCCACCTGCTGGCTCCTCCACCTGTGTGTGTGTGTGTGTGTGTTACAAGATTATGCATTCATTCAACATTTACTGAGGGTGCACTGGGCACCACCCACTGTGTTGGGTTCTTGGGATCAGACAGTGGAAAAAGACAAAACTTCCGCTTCGGGATACCTCTTACTCTGCTCTCTACGGTCTGTGGCTACTATATAAATAATCCAGATAATCTGTAAAGAGCCCTGCGGATTACAGAGGTCCGTCCAAGGTCAACAGGACGTGTTCTGATGCCCACAGGAATATGGCTAAAGAGGCGGGCGCAGCCCCCCCCCAGCCGCTCCACCAACCCCCCTCTGCAAAACGGGCAGTTAAGGCACTATTAGATGCGGTCGGCTGACCGCGAAAGCAAGAGCAAAGGCAAGCCATCTTTCCCAGTCTTCCTCCCCAGGAACATTCTTCGCGGGCAGCCACGGACTTCCCCCGGCCGGCCAGGCTCGAACCGCGATGTAGGACATGGCGTGCGCGGGAGAGGAGATATTCGCCTCCTTGCACAGCCCACGAAGCGGCGGGCCGATGGCCCTGGGGGTCCTAGCACCTCCGTGCCACGCTCGGGATCGCGTCCCTGCACCGGGACTCCGCATTGTCGAAGACAATCCTCCGCGAAGCGCGAACGCGCCCCCGTGTGGCGGCGCGCCGCCGGAGCTCCGGGTCCGGAACGGAACTGAACTGCGGAACCCGGGGCGCGGGCTCTATTTCCGGGGGAGGAAAGCCGAAAAGGACCTTTGCACCGCGGCTTCCCCGGCTGCGATGGAGGCAATGGCTCGGGGTGCTCGGTGTCTGCGGCTGCTGCAGAGTCCCTGGCGACGGGGCTGGCTGGAGTAAGTGCCAAGCTTCCGTACGGTTGGGCAGCGAGTCCTAGAGCCAGTCTGACGAGTCTGAGGGAGTCCCGTGGGGCCGTAGACAGAAGAGCCCTCACGCTGGCTACGTCCCTTCCCAGCTGCGGAGGACGAAGCTGCCGGCGTGAGGGATCGGGAGAGGTTGGCGGCACCTTTGGGAAAGAGCCCACGTTTCGTTTAAACGTGTTCCCTTTCCGTAGGAATACTGGTATTTGCCTTGCCAAATCTCCTGATTTTGGGGTTTGGAAAATAAGTTCACCATTCCACATCCTGGATTTTAATGTTTATGGCGTGGGACCCCAGTCTCCTGTGTCTTTCTTGTCCTCTCCAAGATCCTTTCCCACCGACTACTTTATCTTTCCTATGACTCTGCTTTTATTTTGACTCTGCTTCCTGGTTACTTTTTGCCCCATACTGTAAACTCCGATTGGAACATGACAGAGGAAATTTGTGGGAAATAGAAACGTGGTGTGAAAAATTGGAAGTAGAGGCGTGTATCTTGGCTAGCTGTGGTTTTTAGTAGTATTGTAGAGAGTGCTTGTAAGTTTTGTCTCAGCGCATTTTCGACTAACAGGGTTTACAGTTGTTATTTTTCTAATTTATGGGACGATGGTAGTGGAACAGTGGGATGGGATAAATTGTGGGCAGTATGTTTTAAAGTTTTTTGATCTTCATATTTATTGTAACTTTGCAGGATTTATAGCAACATCAGCAGCTACTCAGCTGTCACCGACTAAACTGACAGAAATGCGGAATGATCTCTTTAATAAAGAGAAAAGCAGACAGTTATCATTAACTCCACGAACTGAGAAGATTGAAGTTAAACATGTTGGAAAAACTGACCCTGGAACTGTCTTTGTGATGAATAAAAACATTTCAACTCCTTATAGTTGTGCCATGCGTAAGTAACAGAATCAGGATACATTTTATTTATTTATTTATTTTGAGGTTTTTTTTTTTTTTTTTTTTTTTTCTTTTCTTTCTATAGGGCGCGTGCACTGGACAGAAAGACAGAGAAAGACACCCCCCCAGGGGGGATGGCCATACCGCAATCCCTTCTCCTCCATTCTCCTCTCAGGATCTTGGGCACTGCATGCACAGGCGCCCAGCGTGAGTTTAAGCCACTGGGTCTGGGACTCGAACCGCAGTTGACTACATTGGAGTCCAGTGACATAGCCATTATGTTAACTGCTGGTCCCTCAGGATACATTTTGACCTTGTGTGGAAGAAATTGTGCAGAAGAGATCAAATGCTGTAATTACTCCTTGAAATTTCCAGAACTTCTTTATCTGATATTTTATTTACTCACTGTCTCTTTAGCTCTGGAGGGTACTCTGGGTATTGCAGTGTTGGCACGTAGTGTATACTTTGTCCTGGGGCTTACTTGAATCTGGCTGTTTGAGGGAACTAACACTTTTCCTTTTTTTCCCTGGCAGAAGAAGGCCAAACCTGAATGCATTGTTACTGGTGTGCTTGCTTGATTTAGACAGGACTTGAATGTTGTGTCACTGTGCAGGTCTCATTACAAGATTTTTGGAATAAATGTACTGCTCTGGCCTGAGATGACCAGCTTTTTTTGGTGCCCTTTTTTTTCCTGACTGTTTAAAGCCTAACTTATCCTTTATCAACTTGTCACATACCGTATACATGTATGTATTCATGTATTTATTTATTTATTTAGCCTAGGGTGTGTGCACTTGCTGGAGAGGGACAGAGAGAAACAAAGTGACAAATCCCCCTCCTCCCCCGGGATTGGCATGTCACAATCCCTTCTCCATTCTTCTCTCAGGATTTGGGGTATGCACATGCTTTGGGAGTGATATTTCAAGCCGTGGGGTCTGAAGCTCAAATTGCAGTGGGCTATGTGGGAGGCTATGTAGGAGTCAGCGCCTTAACCACCACATCACCTGCTGGCTCCTGCCTGTTTTATTTTTGTTTATATTTATTAGTACGTGTGGTAAATGTGTGAGTGGAAATGTGCACAACTTGAATGTGATTGGGGTAAAATACTTGTTTTGTTTATATCTCAAGGGAGGTAATAGCCCCATGTGTGATTTGTTGAAATGGAGGGAAGATCACTAAATACTATTATTCTTTAGAGAACTATTTCTTTAATTTTATTTATTATTACTTTAAAATTTGCTATAGGGCACATGTGTTCACCAGAGACAGAAAGAGAGTGAGTGAGAAAGCAGGCCACCAGATCTGAGACTCGAACTGCAGCTGGGCAGGTTGGAGTCCAGCGCGTTAACCAGCCCACCACCTGCTGGCCCCTAAATAATGTTTTTGAAAATGTTTGGGTAGAGTTTTGATAGAACTGGTAATATTTAAATTAGAAAGTTCCTAAAATAGATACGCATAGGCATAACTAGCTGCGTTGTTTAAACTTTTGGAAAACTTTATAATGATTCAATTTAAGTAGTTAACTTTAGTTACCAGCTTAAGCTGGCTTAAAGAGTGCACACTTTGGGGACCAGCGGATGGCATAATGGTTAACGTCACTGAACTCCTATGTAATCGCCTGTGATTTGAGTCCCAGACCTGGAAGCTTAAAACTCACGCCAGGTGCATGTGCATGCCCAAAATACCAAGGGGAGAATGGAAGAGAAGGGACTGCAGCATGGGCATCAACTGTGGGGGGTGGTTTCTCGCTTTCTGTCTCTCTTTCTCTGTGCCTTAGGCGAGAACACACACCCAATAGGAAAAAACCTCTCTTAAACAAACAAACAAAAAAGAATGCACACTTTGGATCTTCCTTTACTCTGACATTGAATTAGTACATTTTTTTTTGGGGGGGGGAGAGGTTTTGGTTATAGGGTGTGTACGTTCGCCAGAAAGACAGAGAGAGAGACTGAGACAGAAATCACCCCCTAGGGGAGATGGCCATTCCACAATCCCTTCTCCTCCATTCTCCTCTAGGGATCTTGGGCATGCATGCACACGCGCCCAGCGTGAGTTTTAAGCCACCGGGTCCTGGATGCGAACCACGGTCGACTACATGGGAGTCCAGCGACATAGCCATTATGCCAATTGCTGGTCCCAAGTACTTATAAATATTTATTCATGAGGTTTTATTTATTTCTTTTTCAGAGAATTATTTATTTAATTTTATCAATGATTATTATTATTATCGTTTTTCAGTTCAACCGGAGACAGAGAAAGAGAGGGAAAATGAGGAAGCAAGCCACCAGGTCTGGGACTCGAACTGTATTTGGCCATGTGGGAGTCTAGCATCCTAACCACCATGCCACCTGCTGGCTCCCATACTCATCAGGTTTTTAAGTATTTCTTTAAGCTCTGCTATATTATAAGTATTAGGATGACAGAAGAAGATAAGACAAAGCTCAGGCTCTTACTTTTATGCATATTACATGTAGAGAAGAAATTTCTGGAGCACTTTCAGCGTGACCCTTTCCCTAAGACTTCCTTGTCATTCAGATCTTCAGTCATTCAGTAAGCTTTTATGGAGCACCTGCTATTTCCAGGCCTGATGCTAGGCTCTGGGTATACTGATGAGTCCACAATCCTGCTTTTATGGAGTTTATGTAATGGCTTATCATTTAGACCCTGTAGTATTTTTTAGTAGCTGTGTGCTTGTAAAACATCTATACAGGATTAGATTAAATTTTGGAGTCATAGGACAGACCAGAGTTGATTGGCCTATATGTGAATTCATATTAATAATTTAAAAACGATCACTATTGTATTTAATGCAAAGAGTCCATGTTGTAGCAGTAAGATGGTTTGGGAGCAAGACCCCAAACTAATTTAGACTAGCTATGTGTGTGCATATTTATCTTTCTTTTCTTTTAAGGTGTGTATGTATCTATCCATGTATATCCATGATGCTGTTCTCTGAATAATTATAGCTCTTGGAAAATTGTTTTATTGATAATTGATAAATTAATTTCAAACTAGACTTAGTGTTGGTTATTTTTGTTCTGGGTAATTTTGTTAATAATCAGCAATACCTTGATGTGTTGGATATTTGTTTCTCTATTGGTTACATATGTAATACATAACGCTTTTTGTCTCCAAAAAGGACAGTCTGTAGAATATTGCTTTTCCATTGTTTTATTTCTTAAGCTAGCACTTAAACGTGTAACTTTCACTTCAAGTTTTGTTAAATTTATATCATCAATCTTTTTAAAATCCCTAGATTTGAATGAGTGGTACTGCAGGAAGTCCATCCTGGCTCTTGTAGATGGACAGCCTTGGGACATGTATAAGCCGTTGACCAAGTCCTGTGAAATTAAATTTCTTACTTTTAAAGATCCTGATCCAGGAGAAGTAAATAAGGTCTGTACAATCTCTTTTATCTCTTTCAGTTTTTTTTTTTTTCTGCTATTGAAACCGATTTTTGGTAGAGTAGGAAATCTGTAATTATGGCCAAAATCAAATGTTGTACTAGGTAGTGTTTTACTTATTAGGCATTTTTATGGTTCGAAGAATACCAGTGGCATCTATTCCTTAGTAGTCTGGAATGAGAAAACTCTGACATATCTTTTACACTCATATCTTTATTCAGCTTACATTTCTTGAACAGCCTCTGCATTGGTAGTGATTCTCTTCCCACTGCTGCTGCTTGAATTTGGCCTTTGGCTGTCCTCTCTGGGTGATTTCAGTAACCTTGGAACCACTTCTGCTGCGGTCCACCCTTTTTTCTTAAATACTTAGAGTTTCTTCACAGTCATGTAAGAGTTTAATAAAGTGATACGACCAAGGTTCAGCCACTTAATCCTGAAGACCTTGTCTATTTGATAACATAACTTTCCAGGAAGGACCTGCATAATCTACCTCCAGCCTACCTTTTCAGCTTCCCTGTCCCCTGCAGCTTTCCACTTCCTCTTTGCTGTAACCATAGTTAGAGGACGGGGGTCTCTACATGTTCATGCTGTGTTATCCTCCTTGCTTTTCTTGATGCTCTTCCTTCAATGATGAGCATTTTCTTAACTCCCTGTTAAAATGCTATTTATCTTTTATAGCTCAATTAAAATGCCATTAACTCTATGGGACCTTCTAGGTTTCTGCTTGTCAGAATTAATTCTTTCCTCTAAGATCTGCTGATAATTGGCTAGCTCCTAAATGCAGTGTTTTAAGTTTATCTTGAACATAAACTGTTGACTGCATTAGATTCTTGACTCAGTGAAGACAGGAATTATTTCTCTTATTGGATCTAGCTCTTGACTTACATATAATAGTGTTTAATAAATATTTGTTGAAATGAAATACTTAAATAGGAATGTGATATTGGTAAGAGCTAACATTCTATGTATCAGGCACTGTTCTAGGTGATTTACAGGTATTAACTCACTTTACCTTTATACAAACTCTACAAAGTAGGTCCTAGTCTTCCCATTTTCCTGACAAATAAACTGAGACAAGGAGATATTCAGCAGTTAACCAAAGTTACTGGTGTAGGAAGTGGTGGAGCCCAGATTCAAACCTAGGCATTCTGACTGGAGTCAGCAGGCATTTACAAATATTTAAATAGATAGATGAAGAAATACCCTTGGCTCCTTTTCTCAGTGCCTGGGTCTGTATTGTTTTTAGTGTAATACAGTTGCGTTACATACAGTGCAACAGTTTCTGCCACACGTAACCAAGTGACCATGCTTTTGTAGACCTCAGATGTGGAGAAGAGCTTCTACATGGCACGGCCCAGTTACAGCTGTGTCAGTGAGGGGCTTATGGGCAGGTGTGGTGCAGGATGTACGTCTTTCCTCATGACTGATGAGGTCACTGCATGGATTTCCCAGTTGCCACGTCCGTGTATCAGTGTGCTAGTTAAATGAAAGCCCAGTTAGTGGTGAGGCTTCTCGTCTATAAATATGGGCAACATGAGTGATGTGTTTTCTTAGGTACAGAAAAGGACTCATGAGTAATTCTTACAAGTTGAGTTTTTCCCTCTGTATTTGTAAATGGTGCATAAACAGGTCATTATTAATATATTAATTTTAGCACAAGTTTGTTAACAAGTTAACGTTTTGGGCTAAAAATAAAGCTATTACTAGATCGTAAGATTATCTATTGGTTGGTAACTACTCAGTGTCTGATATCTTGCACAGACATGTTATCATGAAGTTAGTGCTTTATTCTTTCCTGGGTTTTGCTTGACAGAGGTAAAGTCAGGCCTGATGGTAACTGTTACTGCAGGCTGAGAGTAGGCAAATATTTGAAAATATTTCATAAGTTAAAAGCTGACTTAACTTTTAATTTAGGGGTATTGTGTTTACCCGTTTCTGAAAATATTTCATAAGTTAAAAGCTGACTTAAATTTTAATGTTACAGAAACTTTAGGGGTATTGTGTTTACCCGTTTTCCCTCTCTCTAGGCTTACTGGCGGTCCTGTGCCATGATGATGGGCTGTGTAATAGAAAGGGCCTTCAAAGACCAGTACATGCTTAGTTTGGTCAGAGCTCCGGGAGTTCCTGGTAATGTTTGCATATAAATACTTGGGTTTCTTGTAATCCTTCAATATTTTGATGATTTATAGCGTTCATTTCTAATTTTAGGTAATATAAGTTATCATCATACATGTCTAATTCATTGTAGGTACCAAAATCCATCCTCTTATATTGAAATACGAAGTAGTCTCTGGAGGGCATAGAATTAGTGGAAAGTGTTTCTCTTGAATATAAATTCAATGTAATTACACTGTCTCCGTGTTAATTTCTTACTACAGTAAGCATTGATTTTCAGACTGAATGGGTAGAGGAGGAAGAAATGGGAGTTCAAGTAGATTGTTTAAAAACTATGCTCAGGTGACATCATTTCCCCAGAAATGCCCAATTCCCTGGAGATGGACATCACTGGGAAGGTGAAAGGTGTAGATTCTTTGTAATTTTGGCAAAACTAGGGCTTAATAACTGTATATGTAGTAGGGTCATGTGTCACTTTAAAGAAAAAACAAAAACTAAACCAAAAAACAGTAGCTGGGCTAGCTTTGTGGTGTAGTGGTAGTACACTGTGAGAAGCCAGTTTCCATGGGTGCCTGCAGTTCACATCCTCAGCCTCGTCCACCTGAAACATGTGCGCAAGGTCTGATGGGCTGGAGGACTGAAAGATGCAGCCAGTGGTGTGACCAGACTCAGTGGAGGGTGCTCTCTTCTTTTAGTCTCATGTGCATGAGTGCTATCATAAAAAAAGATAGATGTATACATACCAAAAATACTTGAGAGGAAGTGAAGAAATGATTCTAAGAAGGACTAACCAACAAAAAAGATAATTGAGGAAACATTAAAAAAAAGAAATTTAGGGCCAGCAGGTAGCATGGTGGTTGAGGTTCTAGACTCTCACATGGCCAATCATGGTTTGCGTCCTGGACCTGGCGGCTTGAAAATCACACTGGGCTTGTGTTGTGTGCATGACCAAAATCCTGAGAGGAGAATGGAGGAGAAAAGATTGCGATGTGGCTGTCCTTCCTGCTGGGTGATTTTTCACTTTCCCTCTCTTTGTCTCTGGTGAGTGCATGCACACGCCCTATGGCAAAAACCTAAAAAAATCCAAAGAAATTAAAATTTCATGGACCAACAGTTAACGTAGTGGCTGTGTCGCTGAACTCCCATGTAGTCAACTGTGGTTCGAGTCCTGGACCCGGTGGCTTAAACTTACATTGGGTGCATGTGTGTGTGTGCGCAAGATCCCGAGAGGAGAATGGAGGAGAAGGGATTGCGGCATGGCCATCCCCCCGGGGGGTGATTTCTCGCTTTCTATCTCTCTGTCTGTCTGGTGAGCGCACATGCCCTATAGCAAAAACCTCTCCCAGAAAAAAAAAGAAATTAAAATTTCACAGCTATTTACATATTCATCTGCTTATTAAATATCTTGTTCTTTTAGAATGTTTGTACCTAGTAACTGTTGGAAATCGCTGCAGTGATAGTATTCCTGAAGAAACTTGTATGTTTAAAAAATATCGATAATTTTGGGTTAACAAAAAGTGAGCCAACTTTCTGGGTGGAGAAAATTCGATGGAGCTCTTGTAAGAAGTTGGGATCATTTTATGATTTGTAGTGTTGGGAGAGACCACTAACCCCTCATTTTGTAGTTTAAATATTCAGTTGTTGCAAGTCAGTAACTTTGTGACCTAACTTACTTGATTTTACTTTTTATTTGGTTTGGAATTACAGTAATAGCTGGAGCCTTTTGCTACGACGTAGTTTTGGATAAGAGACTTGATGAATGGATGCCAACAAAAGTAAGTCTACTCTTCGGAGTATTGATTTTAGAGTTCTAGTCTGTGCCATGCTGTTGAGTGGTACTGTACACTGAGGATATTTAAAATAATCTGTGTATGTATCTGTCATTGTTAATTTTTGTTTTTAAGGCACTTTTTTTTTTAGAATTATTTAATCTTGTTTATTTTTAGTTTGGTCAGAGAGGGACAGAGGAGCGTGAGAGAGTGAGAGAGAAAGTGAGAAGGCAAGCCACCAGGTTCGGGACTTGGTCCGGGGTGGCTGGCTGTGTGGGGGTCCAGTGTCCTTAGCCACCACGCCACCTGCTGGCCCCTCATTGTTGCCTTTAATGTATTTAAGACAGGCATGTGGACAAGGATTTTTACAACAGCATCATCGGTTGTCTTGAAGCTTTATGTCCTGCTGATCTTTTCTTGAAGTGCCTTCTGTATTTTTAAGGTAGTGGTTTTCAAGATGCTGAGAATGTACAATGTGATTTTATTTTATGATTTTAATGTGCAATATAACCTTAACTATCTTGGTTGATGTGGTGGAGGCCTGGAGTCATACTTATTTGGATTCCTACAGCATGTTTTGGAGACCACAGCCCTGAACTGTTTTGACGTGTTACGTACTGTTGAGATCCCTGTATACCCAGAAGTCACACTGACAGCCGGAGTGAATCAAGGAGTCAGACTTAGACAAAGCTAACTCGAGGAGCAGCAAACCAACCAGCAACAAGCTAAACTCTTTGCATGGTCTGCCTTCACAGTGATGGTGCTCCTTGGTGGTCTAGGAGGCTTGGGTAGCAAGAGGGTCTGGCTAAGAAGGACAGTGTAGATCAGGTACTCAGTGGGCAGAACGTGTGATGGTTACCAAAGGTCTAGCTGAAGATGTAGTCAGTACTGGAGAGAATAGGCAGACACATGCCGAGTTACTGTTTTATTTGCTAGAGAGCACATTTATTTGCCAGAAGGGGAGAGAGAGAGAGAGAGAGAGAGAGAGAGAGAGACAGCAACCCCACAGAGGGGCATGGTCACACATAATGCCCTCTCCATTTCTTCGTCCTATTGGGATTTAGGCCAAAAATGCCCACATGCTTGGCATGTTTTTCAAGCCCCTGGGACTGGGTTACAAATTGTGTGATTAGCCACGCGGGATCCGACTGCCTTAATCATCAGGCCACAGAGCCAAAATTTTTGTTTCTTCTATATGAGAGAGAGATAGGCCTCCCCATACAGTCTCTCCATGGTGATCCACCCCTTCTCAGCCAGCCCAGATCACCCCAAATCATGAGCTCATGTGTGTATTTGGTGTGCTTAGGGAGATCCTGGGATGATAACCCCACGTGGGTCCAATTTTGTTACTGCTCTGCCACCATCTGGTGCCTATATGCTTCATTAGGCAAATAATTATATGTCCTGTGGATTAGTAGTCTGGAGATGAGAGGGGAAGGTCCCAAAGTATGGTCATTAAGGGAGCCTGATCCCATATGAGCGACTGCAGTTCAAATCCTGGCTTTGGTGGCTTGAAAATATGTTGGGCACATGTGCTTGCATGTGTGCCCAAAATCTTGATGGGTAGAAGAAATGGAAGAAAAAGGATTATAGCATGTCCAGTCTCTATTCACGGGTGCTTTCTCTCTCTGACAAAGAAGTCAAAAAGAAAGAAAGGAAAGGGGGGGAAACGATACCATTAGACCAATTCCACTGGGTACACTGTTACACACTTCACTGCCTGAAAATAGGTGTTCCTTACAGTAGACAGAATCTAATATAAATATAATTAATATAATTTAATTATAAACTATCAACTAGGACTGTAAGATTCTGTCTACTGTGTATAATAGAACTACTATATAATAGTTTTTTCTTAATGATATATCTTTGGGGCCAGCAGGTAGCAAGGTAGCATGATGGTTAAGGCCCTGGACTCCTATGTGGCTAACTATGGTTAGAGTCCTGGACCTGTCAACTTGCTTTCTCACTTTCCCTCTCTCTCGCTCTTTCTTGAGTCAAATTTAAAAAATAATAATGATAAATAAATAAAATTAAATAATTCTTTTAAAAAAGGTCATATCTTAGATTTAGTGAAACACTGTAGTTATTTTATTATTTTTTAATAAAGAATTATTTTGTTTAACTTTATTATTATTATTTTTAAAATTTGACCAGGGAGAGACAGAGAGAGAGAGGGACTCGAACTGTGGTTGGTCATATGGGAGTCCAGTGCCTTTACCCACCACACTACCTTCCAGCCCCCAAACTGTAGTTCTTCAAAGCAAGGGTTTGGAGCCATAGCAGAGCTTTAAATTTTGGCTTTGGAAGTTACTTTTAAACTAATCATGTCCATATTATTTGATAGCCAGAGAGAGAAGAGGGAAACAGGAAGGAAGAATGAGAGAGGGAGGGAAGAAATTGTAAAGGAAGAGGTGGAGAGGGGATGGGAAAGGATTTGAACTGGTTCTTCATGATCTCTGGGCTATAGACAGTGTCGCTCCTTCCTTTTCAAGTATGTCCCCAAATTTAAGAATAGAAGGTTTTGGAAGAAGTTAAGTAAAAACTAGAGAAATCAAGATTCAACCCTCATGAAACTTGCGGGCCCTTTCTCATTTTTTTAAAGATAAAACTTGAAAAAAGTAATTTCTTAGTTGATTGTAGGCTCCCTGGTTTGGCCAGATGGTGAAGAGAAAGTAGGGCCAAGATACATCAAAAGAGAGGTTATATTATACCATAAATGTGGACTTTTTAACATAGTAATTGTCCTGTAAAAGTGGGGAAGAGTGGACCAGCAGGTAGTGTGGAGGTTAAGGTGGCTGGATACTATTAATATATTGGCTGACTGCACAGTTTGAGTCTTGGACTGGTGGATTGAAAACCATGCCAGGCACGTGTGTATGTGTACTCAAAATCCTGAGAGGAGGATGGAGGAGAAGGGACTGTGGCGTGGCTGTTCCTCCTGGGAGTGATTTCTTACTTTCTCTATCTTTATATGGTGAGCGCATGTACTCTAAAGCAAAAAATACTTTCAAAAAATAAAAAAGGAGGGACAGTGATTTCATGTAAAAAGGAAGTTTATGGAAATACATTTATTATAACAGTTATTTACATAACAGTACGTGATGTTTTATGAAAATGCAACTACAGTTTTTATTTAAAATGTCATAAACATTGCTAATATATATTATCATTTAAAAAATTCATTCTGAGAGTGAGAGATGGTGTGTGTGATCATGTATGGGAGGGGCACTCCCAAGAGTCTTCATGCTGCGTACCACCCCTAACCTCAGCTCACCAGATCATGGGTACAGGTGTGTTCCCAGTGTTTAAGGGAGACCTGGGATGTGAACCTAGGACCTTCAAATATGGCATCAGCATTCTGGAACATTGAATTACTATTGCCCCACTTTGTCTTGCCATGTTATTGTATACTGGTAGTCTTTTTTACTTTTTCTTAAAAATTTGCCAGAGGGAACCAGCAGTTAGAATAATGGCTATGTTGCTGGACTCCCACGTAGTCGACTGTGGTTCACGTCCCGGACCCGGTGGCTTAAAACTCAGGCTGGGCGCGTGTGTGTGTGTGTGTGCCCAAGATCCCGAGAGGAGAATGGAGGAGAAGGGATTGCGGCATGACCATCCCCTCTGGGGGGTGATTTCTCGCTTTCTGTCTCTCTGTCTCTCTCTCTGTCTGGCGAGCGCACGCGCCCTATAGCAAAAATCTCTCCAAAAAAAAAAAAAAAAAATTTGCCAGAGAACACTTATGCTTTTCCAGAGAGATGAAGAGAGAGGGGGAAGAAAGAGAATGCACCTTCCAATGAGGTGTGGTTATGCTGCAGTACCGTTTCCATCTCTGCATCCCTTTGGGATTTAGGGCTTGCATGCACGCACATGTGCCTGGTGTGTTTTTTCATGGCACTGGACCCAAGATTTGAACCGCAAAGTTTGGCCATGTGAGATCTAACTCTCCTAACCATCAGGCCGTGAGCTGGTCCAATCAATCATTTTGATTGTGTAAAACTGACATTTTCATTCAACAGAAATTTGTAATATTGGACATATGTTTTGTATAGGGCCAGTGATGACATTACATTTCTAGTGAAACTTCCTGAAAAATGAAAACAATAATATGTATTCTATGCATTAATAAAATTAGTTTTATTCATAATGTAAACACATTTTTTATGTCTTGCTGTTTATGTATATCTTTTATTTATTAGCTTTTCTATTTGTTGTATGTAGGTTTTTTTTTTTGTTTGAGAGAATTTTGCTATAGGAAGTGTATGCTGGTTGGAGAGACACAAAGAGATAGAGAGACAGAAAGTGATAAATTACCCCCCAGGGAAGATGGCTTTGCTGTCATCCCTTCTCTGTTCTCTTCTTGGGATTCTGGGCATGCACGCACACGTGCCTGGCATGAATTTCAAGCCTGGAATTCAAACCGTGTTCGATCACGTGGGGGTCCAGCACCCCAACCACCATAGTACCTGCTGCCCCTGTTGTTTCATAGTTTTAACAAATATAAGATGAAATGTTTATTAAAATTTCTTTGTAGGCTTCTTTTATTATTATTAGTGTAGGTTGATATTTTAGCTATCGGTGAATTACAAATTTTTTATTTTGTGGGGTTGAGAAAATGTTTGTGGTCCTAGTCCAAACAATTAATTTTGGCAAATTATTAGCTTTATATCCTAACAAATTTTTTTTTTTTTTTTTTTTTTTAGCTTGAGTCTTAGTACTAAACATACAGTACTATTTCTCTGGCTTATGGAGCCATGCTTTTAAGTATATTGTTACTAAATGTTATTACTTGTATTTTAAGGAGAACCTTCGTTCCTTCACAAGAGATGCTCATGCTTTAATTTAAAAAAATCTTCCCTTTGAAACTTTAGAAGTTGAAGCACAAGTGGCATTAGAAATATTTCAACACAACAAGTAAGTGTTTTCTTTTAAAGGAAAGTTAAAATTCCCAAAAATATATGTAGTGGAGAAAATAAAGCTCCTCAGGTTTTTAAATGTTTGATGTGCATATAACACTGTTTTATTTTCTGCTCTAAGATCTCTTTTTCTGCGCCCACCTGTTTGCTTTTATTTATCGCATTTATTTCACTGAGAAGAATGTTCTCCACCCCTCTTGGTAATTTTCTCTCTCTGCTTCTTAGGCTAGCCCTCCTTTTTATATTAATATAGTGGCCTGTTTCCCCTTGGTCTTCCACTGTGAAATGATTGCATATAATCATCTGTATTATTTTCTGTATTTGGCAGCCTTTCATCTTTCTCTTTTTTTAAACTGTTTAATAATTTTAAAAAATTATGTGTTCTGGGGTCCAGCAGGTGGCATGGAGGTTAAGGTGCTGGATGCTCCCACCTGGCCCACCACAGTTTGGGTCCCGGATCTGGTGGCTTGCTTTCTCACTTTCCTCCTCTCTTTGTATCTCTCTCTGGTCCAATAGAAATAAATGAATGAATAAATAAAATAAAATTTAAAAATTGTGTTTTCTGGTTAACATATAATTGATGTATATTGTTGGCTACAGTATACAATAGTTAAATCAAGACTATACCCATATTCATCTTCTTTAACATTGAATATTATGTTGTACACATTAGTTAATAGTATTATTTTATTTATTTATTTATTTTTTTGGAGAGGTGTTTGCTATAGGGCTTATGCGCTCAACAGAAAGACAGAGAGAGACAGAGAGACAGAAAGCGAGAAATCACCCACTAGGGGGATGGCAACGCCGCAATCCCTTCTCCTCCATTCTCCTCTTGGGATCTTGGGCACGCACGCAAACACGCCTGGCGTGAGTTTTAAGCCACCAGATCTGGGACTCAAACTGCCGTCGACTACATGGGAGTCCAGTGACATAGCCATTACACTAAGTGCTGGTCCCAATAGTACTAGTTTTTTTTAAAAAAATATGTATTTGTCCATATTTTTCACTCTGCTATGATGCACCATATCCCATAGCCTCTTCCCTTTATTTACCTGCGTTCTTGTATTCATTACAGATTCTCTCATCACCCCCACCCCTCTCCCCTCATGCTTCCACTCTTTAAATGAGAGGCTGAGAATGAAATACATGCAGTTTGGAAAGGGAGCGAACAGCTGGAATAAAATGTTTATACAGCTAGGTCTTAGCCTTCTGTGTGTGAATTACCCGTTTGATGGACTTTCTTTGTCAACTTTAAACATTCTAGTTTATCATCTTCTGCTAGTGGCAAGACCATAAACTAAATTTTGATCTTATCTTATAGAAAATTAGAACTAAGCCTTCTGAGCCTCTCTTTCTCTATTTGCTCAGGCCTACTCCTACCTCTCAGGAGTGTACTTTCACTTTTACTTAATAAACTATTTTTTCCTTTCAAAAAAAACAAGGGAAAAGAAAATTAGTACTAATTAGAAAGGGAAATATGTGCTGCAAAATATAGTCTGATACTGAAATATGCACCTGCAAATTGTTAAGATTATCGGTTAGAATTTCTTTGGGTATAAAAAAATTGAATCACCAATTCTCATAAGGATTTTTTTTAAGTTTATTTATAATTTTTCCCATGAATGAGAGAGACAGACAGTACCCTTAGTAGGCTTTTGATGCCATGATCCACCCCCAGCCTCATCCAGTCCTGGATCGTAGGTGTGTGCATGCAGGCACACTTGATCTCTGGATGCGAACCTGGAAACTTCGCATGCAGGTCAGCCTGGCAGAGTGGTGTGTTTTACCACTGTGCCACTGGTTAGCCACTGTCATAGGGATATTTTATCTTAAATTTATTCTTGGGTTAAATCATGCGAGTCCTTGATCCATATTCTGGCTTGACATTTTTCAAAACAGTGTGTCTTGGAACCAGCAGATAGCATAATGGTTACGTTGTTGAACTTCCTTGTTGTCGACTGTGGTTCAAGTTCCAGACTGGGCAGTTTAAAATTCACGCTGGGCACATGTGCATGTGTGCCCAAAATACTGAAAGGAGAATGGAGGAGAAAGAATTGTGGCATGGCCATCCCCACTGGCAGGATGATTTCTCGCTTTCTGTCTCTATCTCTCCAATGAGCACATGTGCCCTACAGCAAAAATCTCTCAAAAACAAACCAACCAACCAACCCAGTAAGTTTCAATGTTCTTATTTAAGACATTAATTGATGTATTAAAAAATGTATGCTGTGTTTAGCTCAGTTTGGAGAACAATGGATTTAAGAAAATGTATAGGTCATGTAGAACCAACCACCACTTAGCATTGATTCTACAAGACAGTACCTTGGATTATCAGAATACATGAAGTCACTTTCTATGCCAAAAGTATAGGCACTTGCTGTCCAATGGAAATGTAGTATGAGTCCTCTATATAAAAATATTCTAGTTGCCACATTAAGAAAAGTCAAAATTCAAACACGAAGACAGTTTTAATAGGAAATGTTATCTGAGCAATCTGAAATGTTATTTCAGTATGTGCTCAATATTTAAAACTGTTTATGGTATCATACGCTTTTTATATTAAGTCTTCGGAATATGGTATTTATACTTATAACACATTTTAATTAGAGCAGTCACATTTAAGTGCTACTTATCTACACTGCTGGACTTCCATTTTGTATACAATCAACTTTCATTCTGTGCACATTGAGATTTGCTTTTCTCCTACTTAACTTTCAGAGTTGGGTAGGGGCTTCTGAGACTTTGGTAACTCAGTTGAGTAGGTGACGGAAGGAAGGGGGTCATTTTGTTGCCAGTGTGAAAGGAGAGAGTAGCGTTGGATCCATGTGGGTCAGGGATTGGGTATTTCTGCCTCAGAGGGAAGTATGAAACTTAGTGGCTTTGATTCACAAGGGACAGGAATACCTCTTAGAGATGAGTTAGAAGGGACAAGTGTTCGAGGGAATTGGCCCCCTCAGTAATACATGGGGGGCTCTGGTGGAAGGGGTTGGCAGTCAGTGGATATTTTTGTATGAACCCGTGCTTCCCAATCTTGCCACATCACTGCATGCACTCACTATTTATTTACACCTTGCAGAGAAAGCTCTTACAATAAGTGATAAGTTGTGGTTTGAGGCTGGACTGTGCAGTTCCCTCTGTGCCCTTAGCTATACTAATAGACTTGGGCAGCTTTGAGGGATATGTAGGGAGAAGAATTGACAGGCTGTGGTAATCGGTTGTAGGAGGTAGGGAAGGAGAAGGAGGAATCAAAGAAATCTTAGGTTTTTCACTTGGACATGTGGGTAGTTGGTGGTGTCACACTAAGAAAAATCAGAAGGGGGACCAGCAGTTAGCGTAATGGCGATGTTGCTGGACTCCCATGTAGTCAACCGCAGTTCGAGTCCCGGACCCGGTGGCTTAAACTCACGCCAGGCGCATGTGTGTGCGTGCCCAAGATCCTGAGAGGAGAATGGAGGAGAAGGGATTGCGTTGTGGCCGGCCCCTCTGGGGGGTGATTTCTTGCTTGCTGTCTCTATGTCTCTCTCTGTCTGTCTGGTGAGCACACGCGCCCTATAGCAAAAAAAACCAAAAAAACCAAACAAACAAAAAAAAAATCTCAAAAAAAAAAAATCAGGAGGAAGGACAAGCTTGGGTGGGAAAAGAGGAGGTAATTTCTTCAGTTTGGAAATTTGGGACATAAGAGGCTTGTGTATGTCCTACCTAGTATTTATCCAGAAGGGTCTTACATATACAGTTCTAGGCTCAGAAAAGGTAGGTGGGTTAGAGGCAGAGATGAGGAAAATATGAATGTCTAAGTGGTAGCTGAGGCTCACAAACCAAGGTGTTAACCTAGGGAGATGGGCACAGAGTGAAAGAGCCCTTGAAAAGTGGAGGTGAGTAGTGGTGAGAAAATGAGGACTGACAAGTGTCCCTTAGGTTGGTACCATGCAGGTAGGTACATGCAAAACTTTGGTAAGAGTTTGGTGGAGTCCTGGAGCCTTGACCAGATTAAAGGAGGGAGGAAGGGGAGAATGCATGTGTTAATCAGTCTCAAAGTATTGCAGAAGAGGATGAGAAAGAGAGGTTACTTTAAACATCTTTTTGTAGACAGAGTTTAAAAAAAATTTTTTTTTCTGCTTTTCAGGTACAAAATAGATTTCATAGAACAGAAGGCATCTCAGAACCCTGAGAGAATTGTTAAGCTACACAGGTAAGTTAGTCTAAAAACTGGCTACTGCATTAATTTGGAGTAAGGCTTAGCTCTATTTTTCACTCGAATAAGGTATGTGAGTAAAATAGATTATTTTCTTATTCTTATTGTACTTTCTATTGCTTTGTTCATTGTTTTGATATGGTGGTAAATGGAAGCTTTAACTTACTTTTAGGAACGTTTGTGATTTCTGTTCTCTGCTTTACTGTTCATTCATTTCAAGAGTTGAAAACCATTGTTTAAATGTTTTATGGAGTTAATTTTTATATTGGCAAAATGTTTATTGCTATGAATTGAAAACAGTAGCTCACATGTGTTCAGAAATATGAATACTGAGTAATTAGTTATGGCTTATGTTACAAGTGAGTTAAACCACAGTGTGCTTTCTGACACATGGAAGAGAAAGGTCTAATACTTAATGTTGACATTCTTCATTGGGAACAAGTCCCCAGACCATGCACTATATGAAATGACGCCATGGCCTTGGGTCTGTTCTTCTTAAACTCATGTTTTCTTAATGTGGATTTCACTTTATTTCTCTAGAAATCATGCTCTGTTTCTAGACACATTCTGTCCCACACGACTGAATTCTGAGCTCTGTGCCATGGGTTACTGTAAGGCTGTAGGTTATCAGTTTTAGGCAGTTAGGTGTGCTAGATAGCATGCTGTATTCTGTAACACTGAAAAGCCTTTACATTCATATCAGTAAGAAGGTTCACTTGATTTCCTTTTTTTTTTTTTTTAAGATTTTTGCCATAAGGCACATGTACTCACTGGGGAGAGAAAGTGAGAAATCCCCCCTCATCTCTCCCCCGCCCTGCCGCCAGAGGGGATGGTCATTCTGCAGTCCTTCTCCATTCTCTTTCAGGATTTTGGGTGTGTACGCACACCCTCCTGGTGTGATTTTCAAGCCACCAGGTCTGGGACTTGAACTGCAGAATGGGCCGTGTGAGATCCAGTGCCTTAACCACCATGCCACCTCTTGACCCACACTTGATTTACTTTTTAAAGTTCTAGCCTCTTTTTACTTGAGATCATTATGTGAGGGGTTGTTAGGGCCTGAATTGAGTTATGTAGAATGTTCTTGGATGTAGCAGCAAAGAAAATGAATAGATTTTCTTTTCAAACTGTTATAAAGAATTTGATATTGAGATATTTTGTTTATTTTTGAAATCATACCAGAATTGGTGACTTCATTGATGTGAGTGAGGGCCCTCTTATTCCAAGAACAAGTATTTGTTTCCAATATGAAGTGTCTGCAGTTCATAATCTTCAACCTACCCAGTCAACTCTTGTGCGAAGATTCCAGGGTCTCTCTTTACCCATGCACTTACGAGTAAGTAAAGCCTTTTCAGGTCTTCCAGTTTGGGTGTAGATGTGATTCTGGACTTAATTTATTATCAGTTTGAAGGAAATAAATTTTAATTTTTCTCAAGTTGAATGACACTACTATTTTGTAAACTTGGGTTTATGATTCACAATGAGTTTATCCAGTATGTCAACAGAGAATTCATAAAGAACCAGTTGAAAAAACTAAATCAAATAGAGATAGTATTTTTAATCTTTCAAATTGGCATAAATGGGAGTACATTGGAAGGTATTGGAGTAAATACTGGTGAGGCCTTTCAGGAATGCCATGCCTTTTAAACTTATATTTGGCATACTTTTCCTCCTAAGTTTAATGATTTATGACTCAAAACCTACCGTTTGCCACATTGCTCTTGCTCCTTCCTGATCCTTGATTTATTTATTTTAAATTCAGACTTTGAATTTTGAGATAAGCATAAATAGCGGCCATATGAACTAATACTGAGGTATGCTATGTACCTTCACGCTTTGCCCAGTTTCCCAAGTTACAACAACTTGCAAAATTAAAATACAGTATCATGATTGAGGCCTGGACTTTGCTACAGTAAAGATACAGAACAGTTCCTTCTGCAGAGATGCTTCTTACTGGCCTTTCACAGCCACACTTAACTTTGGTCTATTAATTTAGCGTGAAGATGTCAGAATCCCAGTGAGTCTCTTCTTGTTATTGCTTATGATTTGAAGAACCTAGCATGTTGAAATTGGCTATTAATGGAAAGAACCACAGCCTTAGGAAATGAGGTAGATTTTTGCCTCCCATTAGAAGAAACTCTTTCTATCTGTAAATTTGCTAGAGAGTATTTGCGCTTGCTGGAAAGACTCTAGACGGAGAGAGGGAAAGTAAGAAAGCCCTCCCTGTGGAAGGTGGTCATTTGCAGTTTCTTCTCCATTTCTCCTTTTTGGGATTTTGGGCATGCACATACAAACCTGTCATGTGTTTTTCAAGCCATTGGGTCCAGTACTCAAACCGTGTAGTTGGCCATGTGGGATCCAGCCATCTTAACCATCATGCCATGGACTGGCCCTAGAAAGAATGCTTTCTATGATGACAATGATTAAAAGGGACAAAAGAGGAAGAATGGCATATTCAATAATTAATGTCTTATTTTCTTTTATTTAAAAATATTTCCAGTGCCTTAACCACCATGCCACCTCTTGACCCACACTTGATTTACTTTTTAAAGTTCTAGCCTCTTTTTACTTGAGATCATTATGTGAGGGGTTGTTAGGGCCTGAATTGAGTTATGTAGAATGTTCTTGGATGTAGCAGCAAAGAAAATGAATAGATTTTCTTTTCAAACTGTTATAAAGAATTTGATATTGAGATATTTTGTTTATTTTTGAAATCATACCAGAATTGGTGACTTCATTGATGTGAGTGAGGGCCCTCTTATTCCAAGAACAAGTATTTGTTTCCAATATGAAGTGTCTGCAGTTCATAATCTTCAACCTACCCAGTCAACTCTTGTGCGAAGATTCCAGGGTCTCTCTTTACCCATGCACTTACGAGTAAGTAAAGCCTTTTCAGGTCTTCCAGTTTGGGTGTAGATGTGATTCTGGACTTAATTTATTATCAGTTTGAAGGAAATAAATTTTAATTTTTCTCAAGTTGAATGACACTACTATTTTGTAAACTTGGGTTTATGATTCACAATGAGTTTATCCAGTATGTCAACAGAGAATTCATAAAGAACCAGTTGAAAAAACTAAATCAAATAGAGATAGTATTTTTAATCTTTCAAATTGGCATAAATGGGAGTACATTGGAAGGGATTGTATTCTTCTAAGTTTAATGATTTATGACTCAAAACCTACCGTTTGCCACATTGCTCTTGCTCCTTCCTGATCCTTGATTTATTTATTTTAAATTCAGACTTTGAATTTTGAGATAAGCATAAATAGCGGCCATATGAACTAATACTGAGGTATGCTATGTACCTTCACGCTTTGCCCAGTTTCCCAAGTTACAACAACTTGCAAAATTAAAATACAGTATCATGATTGAGGCCTGGACTTTGCTACAGTAAAGATACAGAACAGTTCCTTCTGCAGAGATGCTTCTTACTGGCCTTTCACAGCCACACTTAACTTTGGTCTATTAATTTAGCGTGAAGATGTCAGAATCCCAGTGAGTCTCTTCTTGTTATTGCTTATGATTTGAAGAACCTAGCATGTTGAAATTGGCTATTAATGGAAAGAACCACAGCCTTAGGAAATGAGGTAGATTTTTGCCTCCCATTAGAAGAAACTCTTTCTATCTGTAAATTTGCTAGAGAGTATTTGCGCTTGCTGGAAAGACTCTAGACGGAGAGAGGGAAAGTAAGAAAGCCCTCCCTGTGGAAGGTGGTCATTTGCAGTTTCTTCTCCATTTCTCCTTTTTGGGATTTTGGGCATGCACATACAAACCTGTCATGTGTTTTTCAAGCCATTGGGTCCAGTACTCAAACCGTGTAGTTGGCCATGTGGGATCCAGCCATCTTAACCATCATGCCATGGACTGGCCCTAGAAAGAATGCTTTCTATGATGACAATGATTAAAAGGGACAAAAGAGGAAGAATGGCATATTCAATAATTAATGTCTTATTTTCTTTTATTTAAAAATATTTTCAGGTTTATTTATTTTCCTTATGATACAGTGAGCATGAGGGAGGGGGCGAGAGGGAGGAAGGGAGGGAAGCACCCTCAATAGGATCTTGTCACATTGCAGTCCCTTCTTCCAAGTTCTCCAGCTTGATAGGATCTTGGGCACCTGCGGGAGCTCCTGGTGTGTTTTCATGCTGACCTGGGGATCCAAACCTACGGTCAGTCCTGTGGCTTCCAGCACTGCAGTTCAGTTTGCTACTGATTGTGCCACCATGCAGGGCCAATCTTATAAATTGTAAAAGTTTGTTTATTCCATGAGCAAGAGAGAGGAAGAAAGAGAGAGAAAGAAAGAAAGGTAGAGACAGAGAAGCACTCTCAGGAGAGTCTTGACACCCTTATCTTCACTGAGCCCCAGATCATGGACATGTGTGTGTCCAGCACACTTACAGGACATTATGCTTCGCCACTACACTGCCGTCCGGCCTCGAGTATTTTTTCCTTAAATGTCAGATAAAGCAGCTGTCCTATTTAATACCTTTTTTTCCTATTCTGATTCACTTTTGTAACCACTTAGCAACATTGGTACTGCCTAGCTTTTTATTTGTTTTGTTTTAAAAGGTGTATGAAGACTCAGTCTCTCTTATTTTAACTTTATTGCTTCATTTAATGCACAGCAAATCTTTTCTTTTCAGGCACATTTTACAATATGGAATAAGTTGTTGGAAAGATCTCAGAAAATGGTAAGTGTTTTTTGATACCTAAGGAACACTCTTCTCTGAAGAAATTAAGCCATGACAACCAAAGGGGTGTGGTGGAAGGGATAAAGAAAGAAAGAGAGCAGTAATAATTTATCCCAGTAGCTAAAGCACGGTTGTGGTTGTTAATCCCAAATATTCTGGCCAGAGTGAAATTGGAATTTGGCGGTTCTCTGTGCATTTCCTTTGTTAATATCATGGGGTAGTAGAAACTGTTGGGGTAGAAGAAAAATAATAGAACCGTAGTTACAATTTTTATTAATAGTTGTGATGTGTTAATTAGATCTGTAATTTTCTGTAAATTTATGAACATAAGGTTTGTCAGGTATATTTTAAAGTTGCTTTGACTGTTGACATTAAATATGAATTTTCTGCAAAATGAAGATTTGAATATTTGTCTACTTGTTGTAGTTTATTCTGAGTCATTAGCATCTAGATTTCTCAAAAGGGGCGATGATATTTCTTGACCCCGGCTATCCCTATTCAGTATTTCATAGGTTAAGTGTCCCTTTTTACTGTGTTATCTGTTAGCTGTCCTGTGCAGTCTGGCCTTATGAACTCTTCCTGCTTACCCTAATTCCCCCTGCTCTGCTAACACCAGTCAAGCTTGCAGGCACACTGTGCGGCACACACCAGACTTGCTTTTGAGGTTGCTTATTTCTCTGTGATAATTCTTCTGTCTGGACTCGGTCTCACATTCTCATTTTGCTTATTTATATCCCACTTATTCTTCAGTACCTCACCCAAGTCTCACCTTCTCCATGAAACAGTCTCAGTAAGGTTCTAACAGATAATTAACCATTTGTTTAATTTGTTCTCATTTGTATACCTCCTTTTACTGTTTTTGGATTTCTTTGCCTATACATTTATTTGCTGTGTATTAATGAGTTCAAGATTTGCTATTTGTGTGAGCCAGAATTTTTAACTCAATGTTAGCACATGAGTGGAGTTACCCTAGAAATATGTATTATTTTCTATAATGTTATGTAAGCCTAATCCTGAATGAATTTACAGATAGAAACTTTTATTTAGATGTAGCCATAATATGCTTGTGTAAAGCTTATACAATTTGCTTTTCTTCTGAGAAGAAAGTATATTTGAAAAGATGGAATAATTTTGTCTTTTTGGTTGGTCACACCGCTATTTTAAGTTAAGAAATTAGAGAAGAAATGAATAGTGGACTGGCCCTATGGCCTAGTAGTAAAGGAAGTGGACTCCAAATTCTGGGTATGGGCAGCTGGGGAGAGCTCTTCACCAAGACAGATAATACAGGGTGTAGGGCAAGTGTTGGGGGCATAGAGGAACCCAGATCTAGCCTTGTTTGATGGTTCTCAGTGACACAGAACAGAAATATGGGGTACTTCAAGACATTCATGAAGAAATGAAATTAAAGTGTGAGTTCATTTTGGTGAAAAAAATTCTTTTTTAGAGAGATTTTTGCTATAGGGTATGTGCACTTGCCAGAGAAAGAGTCAGAAAGAAAGAATTCACCCCCCAGGGGGATGGCCACACTACAATTCCTTCTCCATTCTCCTCTCAGGTTCATGGGCATGCACACATATGCACCCATCTGAGTTGGTTTTTTTTTTTTTAGTGGTTTTTGCTATAGGGCGTGTGCGCTCGCCAGACAGAGAGAAACAGAGAGACAGAAAGCGAGAAATCACCCCCCCATGGGGGATGGTCACGCCGCAATCCGTTCTCCATTCTCCTCTCGGGATCTTGGGCACACACGCACACACGCCCGGCATGAGTTTTAAGCCACCGGGTCCAGGACACGAACCGCAGTCAACTATGTGGGAGTCGGGAGTCCAGCCACCCAGCCATTACGCTAACTCTAACTGCTTTTTCCGCACCCGTCGGAGTTTTAAGCCGCTGGGTCTGGGACTCAAACTGTGATCAAGTATGTGGGAGTTCAGTGACGTAACTCTTATGCTATCTGCTGGCCTCTTTTTTTTTTTTTTTAAAGAATTATTTTTTATTATTATTATTGTTTTAATATTTTCTACAGGACACGTGTGATCACCAGAGACAGAGTGACACACACACACACACACACACAGAGAGAGAGAGAGAGAGAGAGAGAGAGACATGAGAAAACAAGCTACCAGGTCTGGGACTTGAACTGCAGTTGTCCATGTGGGAGTTCAGCACCTCAGCCACCACACCACTTGCTGGCCTCCTTGTGTAGTGTTTTCTTTTCTTTTACTTTTTGTGAAAGTTTGCAAGAGGGTATGTCCATTCA